TGTGCAGTGGTCTCTCATAGTGGTTTTAATTTGCATTTTCCTGGGGACCAAGTCAACCAGCGAGTATATTTTGTTTTATTGTATACATTTTCAAGCTACTGCCCCTGAGATCTTGATTCATTGAGTCTCCTGAGGTAGGACCCAGGCACCTAGATTTCTAAAATATCCTACAAGTTATTCTGATATCGTGACACCTCTGTGATAAGAATTAGCCATTTGAGCCCTGGCCGGTTTGGTTCAGCAGTTAGAGCGTCGACCTGCGGTACAGAGAGACCCGGGTTCGGTTCCCGCTAAGGGCGCGTACCTCGGTTGCAGTTTGTCCCCAGCCCTAGTCGGTTGTGCAGGTGGCAGCCACTTGATGTGTCCCTTCACATCGATGTTTCTCTCTCTCCCTCCCATTCTACCTGAACAAAAAATGGAAAAATATCCTCGGGTGAGGATAAAAAAAAAAAAAAAAAAGAATTAGCCATTTGTCACCACTCCCTAACAGTTTATTTTCAAAGTCTCCAAGAATGTTTCCACAGTCTGTGAAGGAGATAGTGATGACAAACAAGATAAAGATTTTTCTACTTGAAACACATTAAATAGATGGGACTGTGATTAGAGGTCTTCAATATTTGATTAAATAAATGGAAGAAACTGCAGGTTGCTTCTCTGGAAATTGCAACTACTGCTCATTTCTTGTGTGTATCCATTTGTGAGACTTACCTTTGTAAAATGTTCTTCCATTAAAAAATGGTGTGTTCAGAAGTGCGATTATTTTAGCATTAATGATAATGCATACTCTTTGTGGACTCTTATTTGCTAAGTTAATTAGACACAGACCTATTGAAAATGCTTCTCTTTACAGAAAAAAAACAATTCAACAGACAAGTCAGTAATAACAGAAACTGAGTAACCTTGACCTGTTTACCTTTGATTGTGAGCATAAAGGTAACATTTTTACAACGGAAACCAAAAGCACATTCTATCAGCAAATGTCACCCATCTTCAGAGAAAAGGACCTCTGGTCTCCTGACAGGACAAGAGCAGGACCACAGCTTCTTGTCACCACATACGGAAATACAGTGTGTTCGTAGTTACCAAATCAGAGAACCTATGACATCAACCTGAAGTATTCTGCCTTGCCCATAAGGAAGAGTAGAATTGCTTCCCTGGGCTTAAGCTCTTGTGCCATTTGGTTAGAAAAAGATACACATTTGAATGTTTAGCGACATTATCTGGGTGATTCATATTCTGTGGCGGCATTAGGATTCCAACTAGGATAAAACTGTGGTGGACAATTTATTATTTGCGATTCTCCCTCACGTAAGAATATACTTCTCTCCACCGAAATCTGGTTAAGGCTTTCCTTAGCAGTGTTTATTAGTTTTCTAGGTAAAATTCAGTTAGGAGTTTGCTTCAACAACTCATTAGCCCTTTAATGGATGCTAATTATACTCTTCTTGCCTTGTGAATTAAGAGACAGGAAATTTACACACATAAGCAAACCCTAAACTGATGTTTGGTTCTCAGAAACTTGATCCCAGCATTACTTGGAAAGAGAAGTAAGTTAGAAACTGATGTGAGGCAAGAAACAGTCAACATGGTCCACTCAGCTACTTGTAGAGTCAAATGGGGGCAAATCACATGTTTTCATAAGATGGAACAGAAGTTTCTCTTTCAGATCAGTTGACTAACTTTGGCCAGAAATTTTATTTAGAGAATATGATCTAGAGAATTTTATTTAGAGGCTATTAAGACAATGCAATGCTTGCATTAAAATATGTAGAGCTGAGTATATGGTCAGATATGATGAAATAATCCGAAAGACTAGGACTTTGAAAAGAGTGCATTTTCTGAGCCAGAGTGGTGGAGTGGCGTCCCTTCTCTTTTGAAGACCTCTGTACGTCAAGTGGCTTTGTACAGCTGTTTGAAGGTCTTTTCTTTCACGAGCTTGCCAGTGAACATAATGGAAGTTTCTCTTTAGGTCCTGCCCCTTAGAAGTCCAGTTGATCCTTGAACAATACAGAGGCTTAGGGACACCAGTCCCTGTACAGTTGAAAATTCCTCCCAAAACTCAGTTGTTCCTTGGTATCTTCAGGGATTGGTTCAAGGACATTATGTAAAAGTCCCTCATATAAAATGGTATAGAACAACGCATACAGTCGGCCCTCCACATCCACAGATTCCCTCCCGCAGACTGAAAATAGTGTTTTCAATCCACGGTTGGCTGTATCCAAAGATGTGGAATCAGGGGACACAGAGTGTTGACTGTACGTTGATTGAACCCCATGTAAGTGGGTCCTCGCGGTGAAACCCATGTTGTTCAAGGATTAACTGCAGATGTAAGTTTTCCCATACTGTGAATAGATGTTTTTTGTTCTGTTTTTTTAAAAAGAGGTCTTTGAATCCTAGTCCTTTTTTCAGAAAACTGAATCTTGCAGCTATAAAGAGGGTAAACACTTGTCATCATTCACAAGGGGAGAAATGGAAGATTGAAAATGAGATGGTCCCATTGTGTTCATAAAACAAGGTCAGACAAACATGACTGCCTGGCTGGGTGATCCCCTCCCCCCCCCCCCCCCACCTTATGATGAGTCCCTCACTTAGTTCATTTAGTGTATAGCCATCAAGTTTAGAAAACATATTAAAGGAAAAGTGTATCTATAAAAACCACCACGTGAAAAGTTATTCTAGGAGTTAACAGTTGAAAACTAGAATTCATTCTATTCTGTATGGTGATGTATTTCCAGTGGGTTTTTTCTTTCTTTTTTTTCTTTCATTTTGTTTTGGTCAGAACTAGAAATTGAACCGGATTTTACCACACCTCTTCATTAGAGGAAAGGAGAAGTGTATAAAATATGCTCGGGAATGCAGCCTGTAGGATATAATCTCTCTGCCTTTTCGTTTTCCTCTTCAATGTTGTATATATCTTTCTTAAGCTCCTCTTTAAAGGTAAATATTTTTCATAGTTCTCTTCAATTTAACAAATCATAAGGATTTACTCTGAGTCACTGATTATCAATCTCTTGCATTTTAAACCCCCTTAAATAAATCTCTGTGTATTTGCAACTGAGTCAAAACAGCAAAACATTTCTTTGGGTTTGTTATATACACTCTTTATAATCAACATCTGTTAGACATGATGAGGTATTTATGAGTCCCCTCTGAAATAATAGCATTATGTTGTATAAATGTCCAAAAATTCATTTATCTATTCTTACCATTTTCTCTTCTCACCTTTGGTAAATAAGAGGGATTAATTAATTAGCTCTGGTGTAAAAGGTTAGATTTTGTTAGATGAGCTTATATGAAGACTGGACCTTGCATTCAGCACAACAAAGATACAATGTTAGACATTAACTCCACTTCTGTTTACTCAGCCCAAATTCTGAAACTGGGAGAAGTTTTCAAACTTCATTAGCATTTTTCCTTGAAGGGCAAATTTCAAACAGTACATGCGGGGAATGGGTCTTGTAGATTTGGGGGTACCCCTTGCTTTACTCTTTCAACCTGTCAGAGAAAGTGCTAAGTGCGTTTCTGCTGGGTGAATGAGACATTTTTGAGCATCTGCCACATGTAAGGCTCAGTGAAGCATAGGTGTTCTGATCCTTTTTGTTTGTTTTTGGGACACACAATAAAAGATAAATTGTTATATTTAGCCATATTACGTGCTATTGAAGCTTTACAATTAGGATATGAGTTTTTATGTCTGGGAAGACATTATAAAATGAGCTGCGTGACCCTGGCTGGTTAGCTCAGTTGGTTAGAGTGTCATCCTGATATGCCAAGGCTACAGGTTCAATCCTTAGTCAGGACACATACAACAATCAACCGGTGAATGAATAAATAAGTAGAACAACAAATCGATGTTTCTCTCTCTCTTCTTTCTCCCTTCTTCTCTCTCTAAAATAAATAAATAAGCTATGTAAATTTGCTGTGGTACCTATAAGAATATTAAATGGAATGCATTAAGACCTGATCAGAAAAGCATGTGGACTTACTCTGTAGTGTTTAGAGAAAACAGAGCTGACATGTAACTACTCCCTGGTAAATTAACAGGCCAAATGACCTGCATTTGATTCACTTGGTAGAGCATATTGATGTAATGAATAGGTTATGAATAGAATATGAATATATTATAGAGTTATATTTCCTAACACAGACAATAAAATGTGTTTATTCATATAAGAGCATTTACGTTTTTCTGGATTTATAGCCATTCATTTCCAATCCGACTAACAGAATTTTTATTCTGGGCCCTTAAAAATGTACGTGGTTGTGTCAGTGATTACAGTGGGATTTTATTTTTAGCTTTTCAACTCATTTTTAAATTACTTCATTCTACACAATTGAGCTATGTTCATGTGTCTCCTCAGAACATAGTTAAGTGCTTAATAAATTGCTTATCTACTTGCTGACCCCTTTTGCAAGAAAATCCAGCAGAAATCCAATAACAGCAGCTGAGGCGAGCTGAGGGAAGAGGTGAGGCCTTGAAGCAAAGGTCTTTCCCTGAGCGGGAATCCCACAGGTAGAACTAGTTCTCTCTCCCTCGTCTGCTGAGAAGTAGGAAGGATGGGCAGCAGAATGAAGAGGGGCAAGAGCTGGCCCTGCTACTCACAGCACCGTGGACCTGCAGGTGCCACATAATAACTAGGGCCCCTTGGATGGGTGGCTCTGCTTAGGAAACACTTTACATGGGGGGAATCTGCCTTTTGTGTTAAGATTGTAGAACATCTTCTTTTCCAGGAGCCTCAAAACTAAAGATTGTTCAAGGCAAGGTGAACCCTGGCTCTTTTAGAGCCTCTGGAAGAATGGTCCCTACTCTTCAGATCCCTTCGACACGAACCATTATTTTCTGTATAAATGTTGCCTTTTAGGTCGTATTTGTTTTAACTGACAAAATCGTGGTTTAGGCTGTTCCCACATGTTTAAACAGTTTATCTCTAAACGTTCAAGTGGCTTTGCTTAAACAGTTCTTAAAATGGGATAGTGATAGTTCTACTTGGGTGTCGCAGATCCTGTGAAGCCATCCGGCGGCTCCTTACAAGCACCGGTGGATTTACCTGCAGCTGTCATTACACCCCCGGCCGCCCAGGTGGATGCATCCTCTGCTGCCCAGCCGCCTCCGTATCAGCTAATTAACCTTCCCCCACATCTGGAAACCCTTGCCATCCAGGAGGATCCTCAAGACTACCTCTTGCTCATCAACTGTCAAAGCAAGAAGCCCGAACCCACCAGGTAAACCACATATGCGTGCGTGTGTGCGTGTGTGTGTGTTCACCTTTACGAATCTTACCGATAAACTTTTTAAACCCTGCATTGAAGGTTTAAAAGAAACCATCTATATAGACATATTTTATGTTTATATTCCTCCACTAATGATGTCTGATATGTCCACAAGATTTTATTGAAGAAACACATTCTCTAGCATCTTTGGCAGGGAACGCTCCCCAAAACCTCTTTTGGAAACCTGTCTTCCGTTTCATAGTCTTTGTTACAGACTCACAGTGTTACTTGCTTAACAGATTTCACTGATTTATAAATGGTGATCTTGCTCCATTTCTTATGTGATTGTAAACCAGCCAAGGGTCATCTTTTGTTTCTGAAGAAGGAGAGGAATACCTACTACTAGAAGATTTTGAAAGCAAAACGATTCCATTGCAGTGAGTGTGTTGTGGTAGCTTTGGATCTGTGTGAGAAATTAATCATACAGGTAAAATCCCAATATAGCAGAATCTATGGAAAATATGAATTGAGCTTTGGTGAAACTGGGTGAAATCAGATATATTGCTAAGAGCTAGGAAATGTGAATTTTCACACCTCGCAACGAAGCGGAGCTTTACCCAAGCCTTGACTTTGTAAATTTTTAAGTAGAAAGAAGTAATGGATTTCAGTACTTGATCAGAGGTATCAGAAAGACTCCCAAATCCTGGTTTTCCTGTCATCTCCATCCCTGCCCCAAGACCCGACCCCTCTCTTCTTCTAAGCTGTCAGATACTTCCATCTGGTATTGAGTAATCGAAAGGCTTGAGGTAATGGTAAGTGTTGGAGCTGAAAAGTAATGATCAGGAGGCCTGTCTCTGCTAACAGCTGTGACAACTAATGACATTGGGTATATTTATTCTCTTAAGTTGTAGTATAAAGGTGGGGGTGATTGCATAGCAGATGTGAAAAATTTTTCAACAGGGTTATTAGACATTAAGCATTATTTTTTATAACCAAAAATATTTTTTTTCATGTAGAAAGTTACTGTTACTGGACCAGGAATATACAAAACACTATTTAAAAAATTTTATATAGAATTTGTTAAGATTCACAAATTAGTTTCTGTGACCTATTCCCCCAAGATAATGGAAACAAACACTCCAATGAGTCATTTCTATATATTTGTTGTAATGGGATTTTACCTGTAAGAGCAAAAAAAAATTTTTTTTTATAAATCAACATGAGTTAATAATATCAAATTCTAACTTGATTTTGCTTGTTTGCTGTGAGTATTTAAAATTACACACTCGCAACTTTGTTACCCATCCTACTAACTAAGATTTCATTTTTCGGAGAGTGACAGTTATTTTTCAGTATCAACTATTTAAAAGCCAACAGCTAAGTGACAATTTCCTGTACATTTTCTTCTTTTTATATAATGTCTTTCATTGACCTCAGTGTTATCACAACTTTCCTGTTGTGGTAGAAATTACATGCAGATATATTTTGCATTTACTTTTTGCAAAAGTGACAGTTAACAAATATTTATGATGTGCCCACTGTTTTTGCCAGATGCTCTGAAGGTACAGACTAATTATGTAAGTTTCAGCCCCCCTCAGATACAGTCACCCTCACAGTTTACAAGTAAACTGTGTGGAGAAGTCAAAACACGTATGCATTTTAAGAGTTTATACATAGAAGCAAGACAAGAGCACTGCCTTGCAAACTCGTGTTCAGCCTGCGAGCCTGGGCTCGGACCTGTGTAGGAAACGTTTCCCCAAACTCCCAGGCTGGATTCAGTGCCGCTCTGGGTTTTCATAGCATCCCGGTTGTACCTTTCATATCTCTGTTTTATCACAGAATTGGAAATAGACGCTGTTTTATTCACGCTCCACCAAACTGTAAGCTAGTCAGAGGGAGGATGTTTATTGCTCATTGTACTTCCAGCATCTTTTAACTCACACCTTTGAATTCGGTGACAGTGCACATTTTAGAACAGGTGTAAATATGAGTGAAAGCTCTACCCTGGGAGGAGCCGGATTTGAACTCTACCTGGTTGGTGAGAGAAAGGGAGACAGTCATTAGTAATCTGCATAAAAATGCCTGAGGGAAAGGAGAGGTGAGAACGAGTGATAGGTTGCAGGTAATAGGAGGAGAGCCTGCTTCGACTCAGGGGTTTGGGAACAGGAGGACATAAAATAGGACATACAAGGTGGAGCCAGTCTGTGCGTCAGCCTCAATGAAAGGGGAGTAGATTGTGGGCTTTTTGGAGTCCCCACCCCTGTAGAGACCCTGGACGGGGTGTTCTCTGGGTGTGTGCGTGAATGGAAACCATGTTTTGAGGAGGTTGATCTTACCAGTAGGATCGCATGCACAGACTGGAAGAGAGGGAGACCAGAGGGAAGAAGTGCACTCAGGAGGGTTCCTTGCAGAGAACTTAGCAGAGACACAGATCTGAACTTGGGGTGGTGACAGTGGGAATAGGGCAGGGGACAGACGCTTGGTTAGGAAGAGACTCCGAGTGATGGTGGAGAGCAAAGAGAAGGGATCAGAGTTGACTAGAGAACCTGAATAAGGACATCTCAGTGGCAAGCTGGAAAGGGCATTCAGCTGGAGAAGGAGGTTGGGTTGGGTTTGATACACATGAGCAAGGTAATACCGGCATAACCAAGTAGAAATATATTTGAGCATTTGGAAAACATGGGACTCGGAATTTTGTGAGAAGATGGGAGTTGTCAGCATTCAGTGGAAGGTGACCGTGTGAGACAGGAGGCCTTTTGAATGGTGTGTGTGGCCAAGAATGAGAAGACTGAATTCTGTTGGCCATTCCAGGTGGAGAGATACAGGAAGAAGGAGCTAGTCAGTGACAAGGCAGTGATGAGAGAGGGACAAGGAAAATCAGGATACCATGGCACAGGTTTTTAATCGTAGCAGAGGAGAGTTCCAGTGAAGAAATGGAGTACGCAGAGCCAGACATTGCTAGGAAATCAGGGAAGATTAGCCCTTAAAAAATGATCACAAGTTCATTTTTAAAATTAGTACAGTACGTGTAAGTTCCTTCGGACAGCACGCATGGGTAGTGAAGGGATCCTGTTCCACGTCACATAAGTGCGAGCGTGCTGGTATTGGTAGCTTTGTTTTGCCTGATACCCAAATTCTGTGATACTACAAAATGCAGAGACTGAAAATGTACCCAAAGCATGAAATACTCTAATGAGATTCCTCGAGGTTAATTATCATCTGGAATTGACTCACTCTGTGGCTTCTATTTTGATCCACTTTACAGTATTGGCTAAATGCTTGTTTCAAAAAATTGAGTAGAGCCCTGGCCGGTTTGGCTCAGCGGTTGGAGTGTCCGCCTGCGGTCCGGAGAGACCCGGGTTCGGTTCCCGCTAAGGGCACGTACCTCTGTTGCAGTTTGTCCCCGGCCCTGGTTGGTCGTGTGGGTGGCAGCCACTCGATGTGTCCCTTTCACATCGATGTTTCCCTCTCTGTCTCTTCCTCTCTCTCCCTCCCACTCTGTCTGTACAAAAAAATGAAAAAAAAAAAAAAAAATTGAGTAGAGAGGAAGGTATACCAAACCTTTTAAGTTGCCCTCATGTAGATCACACTGACTTTACTCAATACCAGGTAATCATTAGACTTTTAGTTGTTCAGAGCAACAGACCTGCCACGGGTAGGCCAAGGAGCAGTGGATCACCTCGATACATTGTCTCAGCACCTCGTTTTTGCATGCTGTGCAGAAGAAATGCCTTCCCTTGTGTCTGTGCCTTAATCACTTGCCTTTCTCAGAGTTTTACCCCTTTCTAATTCCTGTACATCAGGGGTTGTGGTTTTAATGTGTGGACTTAGTAGGTGGAGGTGGGGGTGTGGGCAGGTCCAAGACGAATCAGGGAGAATGCTGTTGGTGGTTTTGTGGTGGTGGTGGTGGTGGTGTTGTCCGGTTTATAATCAGGAAAATGAGCAGCATTCGTGCTTTCAATCTCACGGATCACACCAAAAAAAAAAAGTCGCGTGGACAGAGCCAGGGGTTTTGATTGCTAAGCGGTGTATTTATTCAGAGGCAGCCCCGTGTCTTCACTGTGTTTTACTTTCTGCCATTAACCATTTTTGTTTAGAACACACGCTGACTCTGCCAAGTCCACCTCCTCCGAAACGGACTGCAACGATAACGTCCCTGCTCACAAAACCCCTGCTTCCTCCCAGAGCAGACACGGAGTGAACGGCTTCTTCCAGCAGCCGACGGCCTACGACGCCCCGGCGCGGGACGCCAGCCTGTACCACCTGCCCCGCAGCTACTCCCACGACGTGCTGCCCAGGGCGTCCCCGTCCAGCGAGGCCGACGGGGAGCTCTACGTCTTCAACACGCCCTCGGGCACGTCCAGCCTGGAGGCCCAGCTGCGGCACGTGTCCATGAGTTACGACATTCCCCCCACGCCCGGTAACACCTACCAGATTCCACGAACATTTCCAGACGGAAGCCTGGGCCAGACGGCAAAGCTGGACACTATTCCAGATATCCCTCCACCCCGGCCGCCGAAACCGCACCCGGCGCACGACCGCTCTCCCGTGGACACGGGCGGCGCGGCCCCCGACGGCAGTTACAGCGTTCCCACCGCGGGCCTGCCGCCGTCCCGCAGCAACACCATCTCCACCGTGGACCTGAACAAGCTGCGGAAAGGTCAGCCCCGTCGGCTTCTGATGAGAGGTCATGTAGGAAACCTGTTTCTGAATGCTCGTTCTTATAAGCAATGTAGGATGGCAAGTGATAGTCCTGGGCAGCCTCAGTCCTGCAGGTACCCACGCGTGTCGCAAAGGTATCAGAGTCTCTATAGATTCCCAAGAAGGGGTGTGCATGGGACCTGTGCCTGGGTGGGTGTCCTGCCGGGAGGGAGAAAGAGTTGGGGTGTTTCATCCCCGAAGAAGTATGCCTTAGACATTCCTTCCTGCCTCAGGAAGTGTGCCTCCCTCTCTCCCCAATTCTCTATATCCCTGGGGGACAGACTCCGGGGCAGAGGAGCAGGAAATGGGCCAGCCACACAGCATCTGCGACTCATAGCCTTTCCTGTATTTGTGCCATTATGGCCACTTCTGTGTGTCGGGTCTCTTGGGCTCCATTTCCTCCTTTTCTAAATAAGCAGCGTTTATGTTGTGTCTAACAGGTAATAATCCATTCCAGTCAAGCCACTCTGATTTTTGTTCGGTGTTATTTTATTTTTAAAGCTCTGAGTCTTCTCTCTATTCTTCGTCACCTTGCTTCTTCCTAACCGTCTCCGAGAGCCTGCCAAAAGTTACAGGCCTTGCGAGGAGAAAAGTTTAGTCTGGGTTATACCCTGAGATTCTTTTCTTTTTTTTTTTTAATAAATGAATTGTATGTTTTGTGGATCTGAATAAGGCTTTAATTTTTTTTTCTTTATTGATTTTAGAGAGAGGAAATGAGAGGGAGAGAGAGATAGAAACATCAGTGAGAGAGAACATCGATTGGCCGCCTCCTGCATGCCCCCCACCCCCACTGGGGATCAGGCCCACAACCTGGGCATGTGCCCTGACCAGAAACCAAACCAGCGACCTCTTGGTGTATGGGTCGATGCTCAACCACTAAGCCACATTGGCTGCGCTACCCTGAGATTCTTAATGTCCTAAAAGTAGAAAGCCAAAGTGTAAAATGCTCATACCCTGAAAACTATGTGCTGACATAGTTGTGTTTTCTGGTAGAGCTATCCAGCTGTTTTAACAAAGATAAAGATTTAATGCATCATGAATAGTACTTACGTCACTGCTTCCTTAGCATTCAATTCCAACTTCTAACTGCCGCCTGGAAGTGTTTGTATAACCTGGGTATAAGTTAGTGAGATAGAAGATAGCCCAGGGTGGTACACAATATAAGAAAATAGAGGTATATCTTTCTCCATTCTTAGACAACCTGCCTCATCCCAGACTTAGACCGTCACTCACTGTCATAATCAAATACTGGTACTGATGAGCATGTGACTGAGTGTTTCCATTTTCTAGTGGTTTAACATGTCAATTCAAAATACTGTTCTACGAGCATCCTTTTTAAAATCTGTGTACATACGTACCTGCATGTGTGTGTGTTAAAGAGAGAGGGAAAGACTGGGTCGTTCTGATTACCCTGAGAACTGGCAAATGTGGGAAGACATGTTTATAATTTGTTCTTTATTTTAGATGCTACTTCTCAAGACTGCTATGATATTCCACGGACATTTCCAAGTGACAGATCTAGTTCCCTTGAAGGCTTCCATAACCACTTTGTAAGTATAATTGACCTTGGCATGCTCGATTGTATATTTCATTGTCAAAAACCTTCACACTGAGTTCCCTGAGACTAAATGAGATCATGAAATAAACGCCCCCTTCAGATCTGTATGAATAGGTGTGACTTACAATTATGTTTTCCTGTTTTTGTTTATTAAAAGAAGTGTATGTGTGTTTTAGAAAATCAAAAATGTGTTGACAGTGGGAAGTGTGTCAAGTGAAGAGCTGGATGAGAACTACGTGCCGATGAACCCCAACTCCCCGCCCAGGCAGCATTCCAGCAGTTTCACGGAACCAATTCAGGAAGCAAATTATGTGCCCATGACCCCAGGGACATTTGATTTCTCTTCATTTGGAATGCAAGTGCCGCCTCCTGCTCATATGGGCTTCAGGTCCAGCCCAAAGACCCCTCCCAGAAGGCCCGTTCCTGTTGCAGACTGTGAACCACCCCCCGTGGACAGGAACCTCAAGCCGGACAGAAAAGGTAAGGAGAGAGGACATAGGAAAAGAGTCAGCGTTGCCTGTCGAGAGCCGCATTTGACTGTCATTAAATCCAGAACAGGACTGGGACTAGACATTCTGGAGTATTTCATATCATCTAGTTATTAACTTGTCTAAGAGATATTGATGTTTATAGGTTAATCATTTGATGATATGTTGATGCCCAGGTGAGATTTTTTTAAATCTCCTGTCTCCACAGCAGAAATGACAAACTAAAGCACTCACAAGGATTGGCAGGGAACAGGAGAGAACTGGGAGAAACTCGAATGCCCTAATTGGAGTAACTAACTGCTCCTTGGCTGCAACCCTGTTGATTTGAGAAAATAATTTAGACCTGTACATGCCAATTTTCTGATGTATCGAGAGAAGCAGAAATTTCAGATTTTATGTGTGTTATCTTTTGACTTTTAAATTCTAACAACTAATTTAATTATTTTCAAAGAACAAAACCTTGCAGACCAAATCAAAGTATAGAGTATCAAATCAGACGAGATTATTAATGCACTTGACAGTGAGGTTGCTTGTATATCTTTAAATTCTGCTTGTATAACAACTTCTTAAAAATTATTCTTCCTACCCTGGCTGGTTTGGCTCAGCGGTTAAAGCGTCAGCCTGCGGTCCGGAGAGACCCGGGTTCAGTTCCCTCTAAGGGCATGTACCTCGGTTGCAGTTTGTCCCCGGCCCTGGTTGGGTCGTGTGGGTGGCAGCCACTCGATGTGTCACTTTCACGTTGATGTTTCTCTCTCTCTCTTTCTCTCTCTATCTGAACAAAATATCGCAAAATGTCCTCGGGTGAGGATTAAAAAAAAAATTTATTTTTCCTTAGCTGAGGTACAAGTGCTTCTAGTCTCTTCTTTCATACTGGCCTTCATAAGTAACATTAAGCTCTCGGGCAACATGGTTTGTTAAGAACTCAGTGAAAAGAAATTTTTCATGTGATATGTACCCAAGTGTTTTTAAAAAATGTTTAAAGTTTGCATTCGAGTGATTAATACCTGCTGTTAGAGAGACTTAATCTGGACAACTGAATAAGTTAGTAAATCGGCTGTGTGGTGAGTGGCTTAATTTATGGGGTATTCAGCACATTTGAAAAATCTCATGGCCGGTGTAGCTTTTTAAGAGCATGTAATGTTTGTGTAAATTTTTCATTGACTTGGGTTTAGATTATTAATATTAATTCTAATTAAGTACCCATTGTGGGGAAGAGAGACAGACTCACTCCGAGTTTCTTAAAATGGGTTTTGTTTCATTTTGCTGTAAATAACTAAGGATACTCGTGTGTTGAAGTAAGAAAGCGATTGGGAACTGAGGCACGGCTAGGGGACAGTCACTTTGTCCTGCTGTCTGCATGTCTGTCCCGTGGGAAGTCTGCATCTGCTTTGTTCTCTTTCATTCTTTCCTGCTTTTGTTTTCCTCTACTATTCTCTACCAGGTTTTCTGCTTTCCCAGAGCTGTGCCTACAGCGCCCCTCCGTGGCCTGGATTCTGCCTCGTGGCTCTGTTTCCAGACCCTTGCAGCCTCCACACCCCCTCCTTCGTTACTTACTCACCTCAGGTTGCTCAGAGAGAATCTTTGGCCACGGGATAGATTGTAGGCTGGGCGGAGCTTAGTGGCTGCTGGGTCCTAACAGCTGGAAAGATGGTGACTTGTGACATCCATGGCCACTCTGACAGCCCCAGAGCAGGGCCATAATCCGGATGGTTACCTTAGAAAGGGTGTGAGCATCACCAGCTTTCTATTGAATAACTTTTCCTTCTGCTACTCTTTGCCCTCATCTGTCTCGAAACCTATTCAGACATTACTGGTCCTTTTTCTCTTTGCCTAGAATACATGAAAGCATTTTTGGACATGTTTACATGTATCATTGAGCTCACAGATTGCTGAAGGATTAAGATACAAGTGTCCTGAACTCTTTGAAACATGGAAATGTTCATTTTAATGCTACACTGGTTCTTATTTTTCTATAATTAGTGCATTAGCAGGAGAGCTACCCCTTTGAACCTAAGAGTTTTATATGTTGAGGTCCCCCATAAATGCACAGGTGGAGTGGACTGGGTGATGGCACAGGCTCCGAGTCCCCCCGTCTACTCCCCTGCCTGCTCCTTCCCCCCTAGGGCTGTGCAGGATGCAGCTTGAAAGTTCCCGGGAGATTTTATAGTTTATGATTCTATGTGGTGAGCATAATGCAGAATCAGAAAAGATCCCTATTTGTATGTTTAAAAAGTCTTAAAAGCATATCTTTATGATTTTAAAATCATAGTGATATGCTTTTAGTGTCATCTAGGTCTGACAGCTCATGTACCCCATATTATAATATAAATATAATAATATGGCACATATACTATATATGATATTACATGTCTATCATATTTATATAATTATGCCTCCCTGCATGTATAGTGAAAGTAGTGTATATTCTAGTACATGACAGAGTCATTGTCCTAATCCTCCAATTTCCCTAAAGTGACTTCACACTAGAACAGAACAAAGCAGGTTCTTGGTTACTTCTGGGGATTGTGTCCAGTCTTTTCAAAAATTAGCTGAACTGTTGAGAGACAGTCCTGAGTTCATGGGCCAGATTATTTATTTGGTATCTTTTCTTAGATACAAAGTGAACTGAGAAAGCACCCAGAATAAAGACCCACATAATTCTTTGCGAAAATGAGGAAAATGGGTTTGGCAAAACAGTAAAGAGGTTACTAGAATCATAGTAATAAAGAAAATGTTTTTGCTTTTCCTTAGTACTGACCTACTTTTTCATGTGATACAAGAGAAGATGCATGAGAAGGTATTTTATATCGTAGGGCAAACTTGGTCAACCCACTTTAGGAAGTTATAGCTACTCAAGGAAAACACATTTTAAACCCCAAATTCACTCGCTGGCCAGTTTGGCTCAGTGGTTAGAGTGTCAGCCCAAGGACCAAAAGGTTGTGGGTTCGATTCCTGCTCAAGTGTGTGTACTTGGGTTGTCAGTTAGATCCCCAGTCAGGGTCGTGCAGGAGGCAACCAATAGATGTGTCTCTCACGTTGATGTTTTTTTTTCCTCTCTCCCTCCCTCCCTTCCACTCTATCTTAAAAAAAAAAAAAAAATCACTGGAAAAATATCCTCTGCTGAGGATTAACAAAAACAAAAAACCCAAATTCAGATCTTGGAGCAAAGTTTATTCTTCAAAATTGAAACTGTTAAACAAAGGTCTTATTTGGTCATGAAATTCTTCTCATTATGCATAGCATCAGATGAGTCTCTTCAAAATTTCTCCTTTTGTGATAACAGCGATATGATTCCATCTATTATTCTAGTGTCTCTTGTTAACTAAACCTAATAATAAGCAAACCTATTCTATCAAATACGGCTTGTTTCATTTCAAGCCTAGTACAAGTAGTTCAATATCCAATCTAGCCAGTTTCTGGAGTATCTTTGAAGGGTCTACAAGAAATGAGTAACATTCTAGTCTTGTGTATACCCCCAATTATAGATGTCAGCTGCTGTAGTTAGTAGTAGAGATGAGTTTTTCAAATACTTCTGAGTAACTGAAGCTGCCGAAATACATAGATATTCTAAACTCGTGCATTTAATGTATTTTCATGAGTCCTTTGCCCATCCCCCAACCCGTGGCAACTGTGTTTTCACCCACACCGTTTCTGTCACCATAGTATTTGTTTTGAACCAAGTTGTGTGTATATTACTAGAGGAGAAAAACATCACTTCCATGTGCTGCATTAAATATTACAGATGAGTCCTTGGACATGCAGCACAAATTATGTTTTGATCATTTTCATTGAAAGTTTTATATTTTAATGGAAAAGCTATTGCAAAGTTTGAAAATTTTCTTTAAGAGATCATTCATACCCAGCCTGTGTCGCTCAGTGGATTGAGCATGGGCCTGTGGACGAGAGGTTCCGTTTTGATTCCTGGTCAGGGCACATGCCCGGGTTGCCGGCTCCATCCCCAGTGGGGGGCGTGCAGGAGGCAGCCAATCAATATTTCTCTCTCACATCTGTGTTTCTCTCTCTCTCCCTTCCTCTCACTCTAAAAAAAAACAAAAACAAAAAAAAACAATCAAAACATTTTTTAAAAAAGAGAGATCATTCGTGGCTTCTTTTAAAGTCAGTCTTTACATAAATCTACCATATTTAATCCCTGCACTTATCTAGCTCCCCTCCCCCACCCAGTCTCCTCCTACCATGATGGAGCAGCTGTTTGACCTTGTGTGACTGCCTTGACCATATTTGGGGATGACCCAACAGTCAGTCACTCTTTTTTTTCCCTCTTAAAGGACAAAAAATATGACATTGATCAGATTATACACCACTAGCTTTCAATGTAGGTTTTTTCAGCCCTACCAGCTATAGGATATGCCTTCTGCTAGGTCTTGGGTCTTTAAACAAGAAAAGATGGCTTTCCTGAAGAAGCTCACCTTCTGGTGGAGGAGCTAGAAAAGTAAACACATTATCATAATTAGCACGGAAGGGGCTGTGGTTGAGGTAAGCTCTTGGCCTCTCTGAGCTCCCCTGAGGAACGTCTGAGTGGGTGAGTGGCAATTACATGATGGTGGAGGAGGGGAGGGTGGCGGAGGATCTTCTCATCAGAATAAATAGCACGCAGAGGGAGATGGGGAGGGAGATGGGGCTGCTCGTGGGGGGGGGGGAGGAAAGTCTGAAAGCCAAGTGCCTGATCTTGAGAGTATTATGAGCCACACTAATGAGTTTGGGCTTTATTCTGAGTACACCATTAAAGAGGTTTATGCAGGCAAGTAATATAATCAGCTTGGCCTGTAGAAAGCTCATTCTAAGATGTAATGATATGATAGGAAAAAAAATTATATTTTTTAAATGCAAAATAGTATAAAATCTTACCTTTCTCAGCATCTTTCTCAGAAAGAGCTTGCCTCATTTTCCAAGTCCAGGGTTCTGGAAGCCTGGGTTTAGGGATGAGCAGGTGAGAAAGGCCTAACAACAGCCCCTGTCCTGGCTCTCGGTTGCTCCCACAACTTGGGGGCTAACAGTGATTTTTAAAGTTTTGAGGGTACTGGGTGTAGAGATGGAGGTCATTTGGCCACACATGGTGAGTGTGTCACTCCCAGAAAAACCAGGTGAGTGGCGTGCACATTGATAGAGGACGGAAGGACTTCAGGCTTGCAGATTCCTTTGTGCTTGGGTGAATGGAAACAAACGATTACACCGTAAACTGTAAAGTAAAATTGATATAGGGAGGTGAGAGAGAAAGTGGAATCTAAATGACTCCTAAGAGATCTGCCATGGGAACTGGGTACCCAGGAGACAAAGCCAGTTTGTGGGGAGTCAAAGAGGATCAGTTCCGTTTGGAACATGTAGTGTGAATGCCTGCAGACCATGCAGGTGTGTGCTTTTGTAGAGTAGGGTCTAGGGGAAAGAGCTGAGCCAGAGATGAACATTCTCCAAACGGTCCTCCACATAAGGGCTCAGTCACATGATCCAGGGATTGACAGTCTTTATGGGTTAAAGCACAGTTGCAATTTCACCAGAAATGGGTGCTTTTTACTATGTTCCAGCATAGTCTAGCTAAAGTCCAGTGGTAACTGCCTTAGATTCAAAAGCTGAGGTTCGCCCTGGCCAGTTTGGCTCAGCGGTTGGAGCGTCGGCCTGCGGTACAGAGAGACCCAGGTTCAGTTCTCGCTAAGGGCACGTACCTCGGTTGCAGTTTGTCCCCGGCCCTAGTTGGTTGTGCGGGTGGCAGCCACTCGATGTGTCCCTTTCACGTCGATGTTTCTCTCTCTCCCTCTCTCCCTCTCGCTCTATCTGAACAAAAAATGGAAAAATGTCCTCGGGTGAGGATAAAAAATAAATAAATAAATAAATAAATAAATAAATAAAAGCTGAGGCTCAAATGAGTTCCTCTGCTTACACGCAGAATTTGAGAATCCGTGTATCTTCAGATTGGTTCATTTTTGCCTCTACTTTAGAATTCTCATTTCTTACTCTTTATTTTCACACTTTGCTTCAGCAATCAGCAAAACATTCAGGTATTTGCCTATCGGCAGTGGAGGGGAAGACGGGGCTAAGGCAAGCATGTTTACACCTTGGACTTCTTTTTCTTTCTCTCCTCCTAAGTAATACTGAGCTATCCTTTGGGTATGACTTTTATTTCTGTCTGGAACACACATGTCAAACTGAGTTGGGAAGGATGCAGAGAAATAAAGCTAACAGTGTCTAAGGGACACAGTACAATTCAGCACAACACATCCATTGCAATTTTTTTTTAATGTTTTTCTTGATTTCTAGAGAGAGAGAAAGGGGGAGAGAGACAGACATCAATGTGCGAGAGAAACATTGATCAGCTGCCTCTTGCACGCCCCCTACAGGGGATTGAGCCAAAACCTGGGCATGTGCTCTGACCAGGAATTGAACCAGGACCTCTCAGTCCATGGGACGACGCTCAGTCCACTGAGCCACACCAGCCAGGCTCCTTTGCAATTTTTATCCTAAAATCAACCTTAAGCTTTGGATGGAGTAGAAAATACATGTAAGTTTTATAAAGGCACTTTAAAAATTCTCACTCAAGCTCTGGCCAGTTTGGCTCAGAGGTTAGAGCGTCGACCTGCGGTCCAGAGAGACCCGGGTTCAGTACTTTGGTTGCAGTTTGGCCCTGGGCCTGGTTGGGTCATGTGGGTGGCGGCCACTCAATGTGTCCCTTTCACGTCGATGTTTCTCTCTCCCTCTCTCTCCCTCCCACTCTATCTGAACAAAAAAATGGAAAAATGTCCTCGGGTGAGGATAAATAAATAAATAAATAAATAAAAATTCTCACTTAAGACCGTCTTTTTTATTAAGAAAACCAAGTAGTATCCTTGAGAGTACTTGAGAGGTGTCGTTGGTTTGGAGGAGAGATGTGAGCTCAGGGTCTAGTGTTGGAAGGATGATTTGGAGGTGACCGGTCAGAGAGCTGAAGTGTAGAACTAGATCATAACTGGGTGGGTTTGGCAGTCACGTGACCTTAGTCCACCACCAGTACAGGTAGGGTGCAGAGGTTGAACGCCGAGAAGTGCAGAGCATGACTGCTGGTCGATAAATCACAGGGAAACACCAGGCGGAAGCTGAGAGCGAAGGAGGAGGGCAGAGAGCACAGTGACTGCACAACAAACCAGAAGTAGTTCTCAATGCATTTTGTCATTTTTATTCTGTTTAATATGTTTTCATTGATTTTTTTAGAGAGAGAGGAAGGGAGAGAGAGAGAAACATCGATGGGCTGTCTCCCGCACGCCCCTCACTGGGTGTCGAGCCCAAAACCCTAGCACGTGCCCTGACGGGGAATGGAACCCGGACCTCTCAGTCCATGGGATGATGCTCAATCCACTGAGCCACACGGGCCAGGCTAAAAGCAGTGTGTCATTTTTAAACATCACCTCACTCACATATCCACCATCCATGGCATTCCAGCACGAGATCTCAAGCAACCGAGGAGTTCAAAACGGAACTCTAAACTCTGATTTTCTCACATTCTCTATTTCCTAAAGGGGTCGAGAGGTACAGGGAAGGGGGACAGTACAGACGCATGACACCGGCTGGTAGGGGCTAGAGGAAGCCTTAATTCAGTCTCTGATGAATGTGACCTGAGCAAGTCACTTAACCACTTTTTGTTCTCCAGGGCTATCTCCTTCCGAAAACGAAGGAGCTGGATTTGGTCTGTAAAGGCCTTTCAGTTCTCCAGGACATGTGTTTTCCTATGGAAAAGCTTACCCTCTGCCTCTTACTGTTTTTGAAGGGAAGTACACTATGTTGGAGGAATATAAAAAGCTGATGTGCCCCTTTGTTTTAGAAAAGTGTGCCATCATGGGCCCTGGATAGGTCAGTGTTAGGGGTGGGATCATGGCCAGAACTTCACTCATATCTTAAAGTAGGTCTGCCTCATTTCTGAATTAACTCCGTGTATTAATTGCATAGCTTAGAAAACCGGTTACTTAGAGAATTTTCACGTTTTATAATCTAGACTACAACATTTAAAGAAACTTAGATTTGGGTAGATGAGGTGCTAGATGTCAGCAAATTCTTATTTTGCCATCTAACAATGTCAGCTCAGTTTTATATATGCCATGAAAGAAGAAAATTTGGTGCCACTGAGAACAGAGTAACTTATATAACTTCCTCAAATGATATTGCTACTTTGACATCCAGGCTTCTAACGGGAAAAAGTATGAGGCCAGCTGCTGGGTGTTCACCTGTCCTTTGCATAAGGTTGTGTTTCATCCGTCCTTGTATGTGCAGAGATTAAATGGAAAGAAAATGACAGCAAACGAATTTCTGCTTTCAAATCCTGACATTGAAGCTAGACCACTAGCAGTTCCAGAATCCAGAATCCAGACATCCGATCCATGCAGAATGATGTCACCAGACAGCCACTGAGTTTCTGGGGAAAACAAATGTTGGTCTCGGATTAGCAAACATGTAGCATCCACCTGCTTCTCTAGAGGGGTTTGGTCAGGGGTGAAGGAGTGGTCAAATTAAACTTTTTAAAATACCTCCACCAAATTAAGAGAGTAGTGAGTAGTGTTAAGAATGGAGGTAGGCCTCAGTACTGCCTTAGGAGACACCAAACTTGAAAGAAAAGATGTACTTGAGATCTGACTGAGGGATTTGATTTTTTTTTTTAATTTGACCCAGTTTTCTAAGGCATGTTAGAGGAACTAACTTGTTACGTGTTTTTCTTCCTTCCCACAAATAAAGATAAGAACTAACCAGACCACTTATTCTGCTAAAACCCTACCACCTGTTGTAACACTTTGCCTGTTATATGGTTGCACGCGGCTTCCTCCTTCCAACATACTGAGCATGAGTGGTACCAGCAAGATAGAAATAGTCGCCACAGACAAACCTGTTTATGCTTTTGAGATGTAACATTTCTGCTCAGGGCTCTGTTGCTTTTTTACAGAATCCATTTTTCCCATTAAAAAATAACATATTAAGAGAGTCTTCTTTTTACCAATTAGGTCAAAGTCCTAAAATTTTAAGACCCAAACCCCATGGTTTAGAGCGAACTGATTCACAAACCATACGTGACTTTGCTACAAGAAGAAAGGGTATGTACTTTAGCATCGCATGCTGGATGGGGTGCTGGGAATTTACTTATTTGGGATTTTTTTTCTTTCTTTAAAAGTAAAGAAGAGCCTTAAATCCAACTGCTGTTGTAAATAAAGCTTCCCAGCACGTTATTTCTAATGAATGCTTCCCATAATGTACAGTGTCTTGTTAATGCCGTTAACAGCAGCATGTTAAATATTTGATAATATGTGACAGTCAGTCTTGTCCTTTTGCATCCTTTTAACCCTTTAGATATCAAGACATTGTTTTCTTTCAGCTTGTGAGCTGCTTGTGAATTCCAATCGTCTCCATATATAATGTATGTTTTCTGTTCTGAGATAGAATACAGACTCATTTCCACAGATTAATGGTTTTATGCCATGACTTAAAATTTGACACCTAGACTGACATTAACTTTTAGGTTTCAAGAAAACTAAAATGTTTTGTTATAAGCCCCAATGGATCTACTTAGCCCTTTAAAATGACCACCTGTTTTATCGTTTGATGGTAATTATAATATAGTTGATTAAAAGTACCCAAATATGGACGAAGACTAGGAGGTTTGAAACCCGGAAAAATGAAAATTTTTTATTTAGAATGGCATAATGAAAGGTAGCTAAAATACTTACCTAGTATGTTTGAATAGTCTCCTAAATATAATTAATATTAACAGATAATATTGTTTCATTCTTTTGCTCATTTCATTAATTTCTGAAAAATGTTTCAGTCTGATGTTAAGGGCCAAGAGCTCTGTGGTTTGTGTTCTCATAGCGATTGTCTATTGCGGTGATTAGGTAAACAAGCAAAGACGCTTATAAGTAAAACAAATAAGAATATTAGCATTTATTTTATTTTCATTTAATTTGGTAAAAGATATTGTTGGTTAAATTAAGCCCAAAATTTGAAGTAATTGTTTACTTATGACCGTTTCTCAGAACTGAGTTTGAGTGTACAGATACAATCATTGCTTTGTTTTCTGTGTTTCCAGACTAGGCATGAATTAATTTAGAAGATTTGGTCATTAATTTTGTTTGTTTTTGGTTTTAGCAAAGTTTGGTATTTAATACCTTTTACACATTATTTTATTTTATGATTGTATAACTGATGCTTCAATATTGAAGAATTGGAACATTTTTACATAGAAGATTAAATCTCCATATTTAAGGATAAAATTAGATAAAAATAAAATAGGGAGATCATGAAAAGTATAAATCCAAGTAACTGTAAAGAAATTGCATCACATTGTTCTCTTTTGTTCTCATTTAGTTTATCTTCATAAAATATTTACTTAAATCAAAAAGCAATATGTTGTAATAGAGCTTTTTAGACTTTAGTCAACCATCATGAAACATCTGATTAACTTTGTCACTAATTGTTTAGCTGGGTAACCTTGGGCAGATCACATAATGTCCATGAACCAACCTAGCGTCATCAGTGAAACTAGCTGGTCCTAGGTGCACTCCGGCATACCGTATAAATACACAGGGAGAGGATCTGGGTTTTTTCCCCAAATTGCTGTACACTAAAATCTCTTTCTCTCTCTTTTGTTTCAGCCAAGCCAGCACCTTTAGAAATAAAACCTTTGCCAGAATGGGAAGAATTACAAGCCCCAGTCAGATCTCCCATCACTAGGAGTTTTGCTCGAGAGTAAGTCTTTCAAATATGTAGGTTGATTATTCAATGTAATGGAAAATACCTAGAACAGTGGTTTCCAAAGAATGGTCGGGGAAGCCCCCCTTTTCTTCGAAATCAAAACTGTGTTCATTAAGATAATAAGATGTCATTCACTTTTTCCACTCTTCTCTCATGAGCACACACTGGAGTTTTCCAGGGGCACCATGATATTTGATGATATTGTGTGACAGCTAATAGAATGTGTATTATGTGTTTATGTTTAAAATTTTTTTCAACAGTTTGTGGTATGGTAAATATCAATAGATATAAACCACATAAACAAAATTTCCCTGGAGTTCTCCATAGTGTTTAAGGATATAAAGGATTCACGAGACTAGAAATACCTAACTACTGATCTGGAAAATATGGTAATTTCTTGTGGGGATTACTTAATTAAGATTTATTTAAGTGTATGTAGGGAAATGAATATATGAAGTTACAGCCTGTGTTGAGTATGTGTTCGTGCTTCGTGTACACATACAGTTATTTTCAGTGGGAATTCTTAAATCTTTCTTGTTATGTCTGTGCCTTTCTACTTACCCTCCAAATCACTTAGCAATACTTTTTCTTTGTTCTACACAGGTAATATGCCCCCAAATATACATTTGCAATATAGCTATACATATTGGTGGTGCATTTGAATGTGTGCAATAAGTTGTATTATAATAAATGTGTACAATAGATATTTATAAACTTAAATGGATATTTCTGAAAGAATGTTAAACTATCACTTATTTTTTTTTTCTGTATTTTTTGTTGTTGTTGTTCAGTTAAGAGTGGGAGGGAGAGAGAGGGAGAAACATCGACGTGAAAGGGCCACATCGAGTGGCTGCCACCCGCACGACCCAATCAGGGCTGGGGACAAACTGCAACCGCTATCACTCATTTTTATTTTGGAAGTGAGTTTAGAAATTTTGTCAGGGTCTGTGTTTGTAATGATAGTTTCTATGATTAGCTCCTCCAGATTCCCCATGTCTCCCCGACCGGATTCAGTGCACAGCACAACCTCAAGCAGTGACTCGCACGACAGTGAAGAGAATTATGTCCCCATGAACCCAAACCTATCCTGTGAAGACTCAGTATGTAAAATCTTCATTTTAACTTCTCTCTTCTTTCTTCCAGTCTATCAGCCTTATCCTAACATCTCTTTTTATACTTAAGGAAAAAGGATACAAGTCTTTTTTTTTTTCATGCTTTTTAAAAGTACTGTGCTAAAATCTAAAGTCAGTAAGGGTCAAATTATATCAATATCTAAAAAGTAGATATAAAATTAGTTAAAAATTATAAAAGTTTTCCAGTTATAGTTCTTTTAAGATGTAATTGAGTTTTTAAACCATCCAAGAAAATTTACCTTATACTGGATGCTGCCTATTCGTTTATACAAAGATCCAAAGCCATACATTTGTGAATTGAACCCTTAATGTGACTTCTGAAATTTGAATGATGATATAGCATTACTAAAGACAATCATTGTTATATAATAATAACAAAACTATGTTCAATAAGTTTATATATTTTTAAAATAATTTTAGTAAAAAGCATTATTGTTGTTTTTTTAATATGTTTTTAGTGTTTTGTTTTTTTTAGAGAGAAACATTAATCAGCTGCCTCCTGCACACCCCCCACTGGGGATCAAGCCCACAACCTGGGCATGTGCCCTGACTGGGAATCAAATCAGGACCTTTCAGTCCATGGGACGATGCTCAGTCCACTGAGCCACACCGGCTAGGCTGCTGTTGTATTTATTTATTTATTTATTTATTTACTTTTAATTCACAGAACACTCATAATAACTCCTAGAATCTTGGGGTTTTACTAAACTGTTTTGGGAAAACACTGGGTTAAAGGCCAGAACACAGTGACAGGCTGTTCCCAGTTGAGATTAGATCAAGAGCAAACAGACTTCCCTGTAGGGAAATAAATGTTAATAATACTTCAAGATGAAAAAATGTCCAGTTCCAATAATAATTAGAAAACAGTTTGACTAGCAATTCTGAGACATTCTCTTTGGGAACAACTTACTGAGATTAAATGTGTACCCCCTGTGGGCTCATGGGTTTCTTTCATAGCCTTATGGTGCTGTGAATTCTAGGTGTTTCCGATTAGGGGGTACCAGGCATGGATTCTTTCAATGGTCACATTTGAGTAGAAAACATTTTTCACTCACACACACACACTCATTCCTGCTCAGTTTTTTATGTGAGAATGAGATACCGAGTCATTTAGAGAGAAAAAGCCATTTCCTTATGAATTAGAAAAAAACAGTCAGGAGACGAATGGCTATGTGTACTAATTGAATACCAAAGCTTGCTTATTTTTGTGTGCCCTACATGTTATTGTCGATATTTTGTCATGCTTTATTAGAAGTAGTTGATAAATTTGGTTTAAAAACCTGGTCCTACAAATAGGGCCATCCCATTCGGTGCTGCAGATTGATGACTGCACGGCCACCCTGCTGCGGCCCGAAGTATGTACAACATGCTGCCTTCGTGAGAACTTGCCATCCAGGCATGTCCCGTGCACCAGGGCAGGCCCTGCGGGGCGCAGCTGGGTTGCCCCAGAGGAAGAAGCACCTTTTACTCATTCACAGAAACGTTGCGCACGGGCTGTCAGCAGCCCTGGTTGTAGATAAGGGAATGCACTGTATTTGTCTAGCAATTGTCTTTGCCCTGCATCCCAGTGTACTCTGTTTAACCTGAGCAGAAATTGCTGTCTACTATCTCTGTTTTTTCTTCATCTTTTTAAGGAGACAAGTCCTACTTTTGTAGGCTTCCTATTAGTACAGAAGGGGTAAGGCCAAGAGAAGACAGAGGAAATTAAGTGGTAAAAATTCCAGATGGTTGAAATAAAATCCACTTTACCAATAAAGTCATTATTCATAGGCTTTAGTTGACATACTTATTCTAAATTAATTTCAGTGTGAAAGCCTTTAAATAAAATATAGAACTTTTTAAAAATTTTAGTTTGAAAGGAAGGAGTATGATGATCCTGTAGATTAAAAATGTAATTGACTACATATATTATTTTAATAATGTTCAGGTTGGGTTATCAAAACTAATGGTAGCGCCCTGGCCGGGTTGGCTCAGCAGTTGGAGCATCGGCCTGCAGACCAGAGAGAGTCCCGGGTTCAGTTCCCGCTAGGGGCAGATATCAAAAACAAAACAAACAAACTAATGGTAGCTTGACATGCCAGTCTTGACTTGAACCAACTTTGACTTGTGAGAGTACTTTTAGCTTACTGTAAGCAAAGTTTTAATCAGTTTTTTAAACATTACTTATTTTCCCCCAGTCCTAAAAGGTTTTGATTTTCTAAGCAGATATTTTTTAAGTTACATCTCTTGAAATAGTATTTAGGCTTTAGTAGATGGCAAGCGAGAAAAGCAGTCTGTCTCGTGAATGTCTGGCAGTTGATTCGGTTGCATTACACTTTCAGAGTCTTTTTGGCAGTAACAGCCTTGACGGAGGGAGCAGCCCCATGATCAAGCCCAAAGGAGACAAACAAGTGGAATACCTCGATCTCGATTTAGATTCTGGGAAATCCACACCACCCCGGAAAGTAAGTGAAACCTTCTGTAAATACAGAGTGGGGCAAAAGCTGTGAGTATGTGAAACACAGAGTTTATTCTTATATTATTATTTATTAGTTATTGTGTTACTTTCCGTACGAACAACTGTAACCCTACTTTCCCCCCCACCCTGTACAATTAGTTCACATTTTAAACCTAAAGAATCATCTCTCCTTTGGGGGACTATTATTATGTTAAATTTAGTAAAGTCTGTTACCAAATGCTGTTTCATAGATCACAAGTAACAAAGTTATGGAGACCACTAAATTAATCTTTTCCTTTCTAATGGGTAGGAAGTTATACGCACTCTGCTCTTGTAGTGGTTACCATTGAAATGCTTACTTAACACGTTCTAAAGTTGTCTTCCCTCTCTTTCCAGTGTTAGCTCAAATTACTCCCCTTCTGACTTTTGTTCAATTTTTTTGTCCAAATTTTCAGGTTTTTATTTTGTTAAACCCCAAAATTAGACAGTAGTAGTAGTATTCTTATGATATAGATAATGTTTACTTATATTTCCCTGCATGTTTGCCACCTTCTTTTTTTATTATTCCTTCTTGTGTCGTCAACCTTCCTTCTTTAACCACTTTTCTTCCTCCTGAAATACATCCTTTAGAAGTTCCTTTTGTGGAGGTATGTTAGTGGTAAATTCTTGCAGTCTTTGTTTAACTGAAATGTCTTTATTTTGCCTTCATTCTTGAAAAAGAGGGTTTTTTTTGTTTTTGAGTTCAAAATTCTTCATTTTTTATTAATTTATTTTTATTACAGATGGTTCTCCTTTTTCCCCCCTAGACACCCTCTTCCCCATCTGTTGCCCCCGCCCCCCAGCATTGTTGTCTACGTCTACTGGTTATGCATACATGCAGATAACTTCTTTGGTTTATCTCATCCAACCCCCAGTCCCCTTCCTCTGAGGTCTGTCAGTCTGAACTGTACTCCTGAGTTCACAATTCTTGATTGACAATAAATTTCTCTCCACAAGTACTATTATATAGTATATATGATATATATCATAGTATATCATATATATCCTATATCATAGTATATATGATACTATTCACTATCATCTGGCTTCTGTTGTTCCTGTTGAAAAGGTATTCTGTCAGTCTAATTGCCGTTTCGTTATAGGTAACGTGTCCTTTCTTTCTGGCTGATGGTATGCTTTTTTCTGTATCTTTGGTATTCTGCAGGATTGCTACAATGTGTCTAGACACCTAGACATAGATTTCTGTTTATTTATCCTGCTTAGTAGAAGTTATACTCTTTCTTTCTTTCTTTTTTTTTTTTTTTTTACCAATTTTGGAAAAGTGTCATTTGTTCTGTCTCTAAATACTGCTTTTCCACCATTCTTTTTATTCTCTCCTTTGAAGTTTATGATTAGACATTAGTTAGAACTTCTTGTTCTATATGTTCTACCTCTTACTGCTCTTTCATATTTTCTCTTATTGTCTATTTGTGCTTACTTGATAATTTCTTTAGATCTATCACCAAGTTCACTAATTCTCAACTTTTCTGTTTAAGCCATTTGTATAATTTTTATTTTCAATTATTTAAGTTTTTTATTTTCTAAAATGAGTTCTGCTTGTGTGTTTTTTTTCAGATATGCTTAGATGATTTGAGTAGATTCTTATTCCTCTCTTATTTTGTTCCTTTTATTTATTTTTTTATTCCTTCAGGCATTTTATACATACATATTTTATATTGTTTATGCAATAATTTCAGTATCTGAAGTCCTTGGAGGTCTGAAGCTGTGTTTATTGTTTTTGCTAATTCACACTTTTTAAAAAAAAATCCTCACCCGAGGACATTTTTCCATTTTTTGTTCAGATAGAGTGTGAGGGAGAGAGAGAAACATCGATGTCAAAGAGACACATCGAGTGGCTGCCACCCGCACGACCCAACCAGGGCCGGGGACAAACTGCAACCAAGGTGCATGCCCTTAGCGGGAACCGAACCCCGGTCTCTCTGGACTGCAGGCCAACACTCTAACCACTGATCCAAACCAGACAGGGCCTCACTCACACTCTTAATGGCTTGCTTACTCGTGTGTTTTATACATTTTTTATTGTGCATTCATTTTGCCGAGGCTGTGCATGGGCATCCTGCATTGGCCTCTACTAGGAAGCAGGTGGTGCTCCCATGCTCAGACCACATCAGTTCCCTTCGACGGTATCAAGCTTAACAGGACGGCCCTGTTTCATCATGCCCTCCCTCCCAGGGCCTCCTCGTGCATTGCTGAGATTGACATTCACCTTAAGTACAACACTGCCTTTCCCATTTAGCAGCTCTCTGCTCCCTCTGCTTCCCTCACACTTGGGTATTTTCCTTTTCTTGCAAGTCTAATGATGCACTAATAGTTCTCTTTGGCCTGGCCAGTGTTGCTCAGTAGCTGAGCGTCAATCCATGCACCAAGATGTCATGGGTTTGATTCCTGGTCAGGGCACATGCTCAGGTTGTGGGCCCCATCCCAAGTGGGGGGCATGCAGGAAGGGGCCAGTCGATGTTCTCTGTCATCGATGTTTCTCTCTCCCTCCCTCTCTCTTCCTCTCTCTCAAAAATCAATAAAGAAAAAATATTTAAAATGATAATCATTATTTTTGTTTTAAGTTGGCTAGTATTTAATTATACTTTAGATGTATGAGGGCCCACCCTTCAGCCTATGCAGATTGCCATTCTTGAAATACTGCTTTTCAAAAAACATATCTTAGCTCTGAAAGTAAGCGGTGACACATAATCTCCGGACTTGAAAAAGTTAAGCCTAAGCTAAAGGGAGAAGCAAGTTGTGTATCTTAAGATGGGCCAGGTGTCTGCTCTCCCTACTTTATAAGAATTTCATCTGTGATGGGGAGCATTAGTTTGAATTATTATATATGATCATTTTAAGTTTAAGGGAAAACAGTGTACAGTTAAGAGAGAGGCAACATTGTTAAACTGAGGTAATGTCATTTGTCTTTTGTTTCTTTTTGTGACCAAGTAGAACTTCAGGAGTTACTAATTAGGCACGTGCATCTGTGTTTTAGGACGGAATTTCACTCGGAAGCACTCCCTCCTACGTGGAAATTGATGAGTGTTTTTTGTTTTTGTCCTTTGCCGTTTCTAGCAAAAGAGCAGTGGCTCCGGAAGCAGTGTGGCGGACGAGAGAGTGGATTACGTTGTGGTCGACCAACAGAAGACCCTAGCTCTGAAGAGCACCCGAGAGGCCTGGACAGATGGGAGACAGTCCACAGAATCCGAAACACCAGCCAAGAGCGTGAAATGAAAACGTTGCTCCGCTGTGTCTGAACAAAAGAGAACGGAACTGTAAAGACGAACCCCGTTTCGCTGAAGATGACACCCCTGCGCTCGGTAGATCTTCAGCTGAGTCCAGTGGAAGCCAAAGGACTTTTCAGACATAATCAAGCAATTTACACTGTCAATGGTGCTTTGTGGTATCTGAACAATTCGTAACATGTAAACTATATGGGAAAATAGTGTTACGTAGCTCCCAGAAAGAAAGAAAAAATTGGTTCCGTAGTTAACACACTTGTAGTATTACTGTATTTATGCACTTTTTCATTTAAAACATTGGTTGGGGTATTAGCAGATGTACCTTAACATAATTCCTTTGCGAGTTTTTGTTTTTCCTCACACTACTCTAGATAACAGTACTAAGTTAACTAAGCTACTTTTAGATTTGTAAATTGCTCTTTAAGCTTCAGTGTAACATTAAGAGGAGAAGTAGACTCACAATTGACCGGTCCACCTGACACCTCAGGTGGTAATCGTTAAACTACATAGTTGGACTCCTCAATCATTGCCTTCTAGAATGCTAAGGATAATATATGACTGGCATTAGGACCTAGTTCTCTGGTTCATGATGTACAGTTAGTTCTCAGTGGTAGAACTTTGTTGTATTTTGTTAATTACAGTGTTCTTAGTTCGTTGAGTGAAGATTCTGCCGGGTGGGATCTTGTACCTTGGAAAGACTGAATAATTACACCACCGGGTAAGCCTACAGGTCACTGATGGCATGCAGTGATGATACGCTCTCACACCTGTTAACATGTATTAAACTTTACATTATTTGCAAAACATAGTTTATATAACTAATCAGGTACGTACCAGGCACTGATGTGCTAATACACTGATCAGGTTTAGACAGTGAGCTTTAGTTGTGTTCTCTTTAGTCCTAATGTCTGGTTTCCAATTTGGAATTAATGACACAGTTGACATTCACTGTTAGTTATAGCAACATACTGTGATTTTTTAATTAGTAATTCAGATTTATTACTCTAAGAATGAAACTCTATCTTTTGAGACCATAGTGCCCTTTCTATGATTTTTTTAAAAAAACTTTACTTAATATTCTTCTTGGCCTTATATTTAAATCCCTATGCAATTAATATTTTATACCTGCATTTAAAAAAAATATATAGATGTTACCTAAGTAAGTGATTCTCATATGTAGCACCTGTTGCTTTTCCAGTAAAAAAAAAAAAAATTAAGGATTTTATACTGTGATTTATATTCACTGTCCCAGTTCAAGAAATATTGGAGTCTTGCTATAATGTGAAATCTTATAGTCATGGCAAACCACATTTCTGTAACCACCAGAGGAATCGTGTATTCTGTCTCACCTACAACATGGCCCTGTGACATGGATATCAAGACTACAAATTATAGTGAGGCTACAATTATATTTATCTGTCTTAGCTTTGCTACGTAATTTAGAAAGCAGGTAGAGTTGTTCGTTTGTTAACTAAATGACATACAATCTCTTATGTATTGAATTGAGACCTACTAACAGTTTTTAGAGGGGCATAGGGATTGGAGTGCCCGCAGCTGAGCCTGGCCTCCCTCCTTTCAGACCTCGGTGCCTGAGTACACAGATGTGCCCTGATTTCTGCCTCAGCCATAGTACTGTGCTTAATCAATGTTATGGGTTTATTTTCCCCTCCACAAACTAAAAATGTTCATAACAAGATGATGAATTGTAGCCTAGTAACATTTGATGCTTTTAAATGTTTGCTTTTTTTTTAAAACAAAAGCTATAAACCCAGAAGTGAATTTTGAGGTGGATTTTTAAATAAAAAGATTGTTTGAGTTTGGCGTGCGCAAGCTGTTTTGTAATGAAACCACAAAATAAAATCTAAAATCATTGAAATGTGCCTGAACATTCAAAACAACGCAGTGGATGTGTGACGATACGAAGGTGTGTTACATAGAGGAAGACCATATTTTGAGATTAAAACACAACCATAATTAAAAAATAGAAATCTTGTTTAAAGCTGCCTATCAGAAGAGTCTAAGGCAATTAAGAACTTTTTAGTGTGATTTCTTTATTACAAGTTACCATTTTTTAAAGATCTGCAACATTAATGTGGAGAATTGTCCCCATTTTGCACAGGAATTTAAGAATTGAAATGTCTTAGGCAGCTTGTTTCAGATATTGAACATTGTATTAACAAATTAAATTGAAACACATTTTCTTATAGAACACTATTTGCCAAACATTTTATAGCACTAGAGTCTTTTTAAAATAAAATCGTGTGTAACCCCAATACAGAAAGCCTGAAAAGATTATTTTATCAGTATAAATGCATTTGAAGTTCACATTTATATTCACATATTTTAGCCCATGACTAAGACTAATATTTCTGAATAACACAAATATGTACCTTGTTTTATTTTAATACTGTCAAGGCAATTTTTACTCACACAAATGTATTGAAGTGCAGATAATTACAGGTTTTAAACCTCTCAGGAGGTTCCTAAAGTTGTATGCCAAGGTTGATAACAAAATAAATTACCCTGGTAATGGAAGTTAATGCATAAGCAATCTACAGTATGGGAAAATCGGGGTATGTAGAAGACTAGGATGTGCATTTTTATTAAGTTTTTAAAATATGTACTTACAAAACAAAATTTGAGTCAAACCCTTCTAATACCCGTGATGACCTCCAGGGCGCTGAGCTTCAGTCCGGCCTGGGTTGAAAACCACTGGTTTAATCATGTGACAGTTACAAGTCAGAAGTCCTTTTCTCCCACGTGCTTGATGTTATCTACCTTGTATTTCTTATTTTGAAAAACTGTACAATTTCATAAAGGTTGGAATACCAAAGCACAGATCTGTTTTAAAAAATCAAAATTCAAACTTGAATAATGTAAGCTATTTAACCCAAGGAGGGTATTGCTTAGTAAGCTATAAAAAATGGTTTTTACCTACATTCTAGTTTATACATTTTCATCTTTATCAGTACCATATAAGCTACTGGGAGCATTTTAGAGAATTTCATAAAGGTACGATGTGTGTGTGTGTGTATATATATGTATAACATTGTATTTAATCATTGACTAAATTTAATTTGCTATATTGTACATTAAGGTTCAAAAGTCAGAATTTGTTCTGGACTCTTCATATTTAATGAGGGGGTCACAATCCTCATAAATGCATTTAAACTGGAACACCAATATTTATTGTCTACTAGTGGGAGGTTTTCTGCTTTCCCATTGAGTGAAATCTGTATTTTTTTATATTTTGTTAAAATGCTCCCAAACACTCTTAGTGCCTCTTTATTTGGCCCATTAATAGTACTGGCATTAGTATTTTGAATGAATACAAAGTCTTTAGGATTTTAGAATAGTGGGGCGGGCCCCTCCTACATATTCCTCCTATCTTTGGGTCACTCTGGTAGGTCTTGTCCTCCATTGTCAGATAAGCAGTCAGATTCTTGACAGAGATTGTACATATGACCAAACCAAGTGGGTACAGAGGGAGGCATATCCCAGGATAAGAATCACTGTCTGTAGTATCTGGTATATGTGTAAATCTGCATATAATTTAAAATACTGAGAACTAGGAGATGAAAACTGTGGTGTAAATGAATATGGTAGACATCATAGACTTGATAGGATGGACAATCGACTGTCAGGTCGTGGGGATAATTGGTTTTAGTGTGACTAAATATGTTTATATCTTATTATAGCTTGAAATAATTTAGTTTGTCTTCCCTTTCATAGAGTAATCTTTCGTTAGGTTCAGTATAATGTCTGTTGTGAGCTTCAACAAACTATTTAGTTAAGGGCTTAACGTAGCTTCTGCTTCCTTTACGTGAAAAGACATGACTTTGTGTGAGTTCTTGTAACCTAAATCGATTGTTGATAATCATCCCAAATCTCAACAGCAAAATCTTACGTGTACATTTATTTCTCCCCTCTTGCACATCTTCTTTTGTAAAGATCCAATTGTAGATATTTTCTGCTACCAAATAAAACTTTTCAAACAGTTTGGTTTCAAGACCTTAAATAGTCCATTTGGAGATGGAGATTGTGAACCAATTAGAACATAAACATGTATATTTCCTACCTTTCCATAGAGTCTTTATCTAAACCAAAAATCCAGTTCTGCCATTAGCTGTTTTCCAGCCTCCTTGGGTCGCTCCTTTCTATAAGAAGGGCCTCACTAGACCATGCTAAAACACAGCAGTCACGCCAAGTACACAGGGAAAGCTCCAGGCACTGTTACCACGTACATGTGTCTGTTTTTCCTTCATCTGGCCAATGCTGCCAGTCTTTGTTCAGTAAAAGGCCAATAAATAAGGGTCTGTGCGCACCTTTTACCATAAGAAAGTAGGTTTTATACATAAAGCATGACTTGGGAAATAAGGGGCTGAGCGTTTCCATTTCCATACGCGGTTCCAAACATCGCCAGTATTGCATAAGCCCAAGGATTCGCCTCCGTCAGTCCTTTGGCCTACTCAGCCCAGCATTCTGCAGCTCTGATTCACAGTAAATCATATTTGGGACGTTTGGGGTGGGTGAGGTTATCTTCTATGAGATCATTCTTCTCTTGTCTGTCACCTTATGAATGGTGCAACTTCTGGATATTTGCATATAATTTCTTTGGGAAAAGAATCTCTGATAAACACTTTCTGAATTACAGTTTTGTTGGAGTTTTAGAGTAACGTGGCAATTTTGTGAATGTGTTATTGCATATTTAAAAGCCAAGTCAGTGATGGAAGGCATTTTATTAACTGTTGGGATGGGTAACATTCCTCCCTTAGATTCTGTGTGTGTGTGTGTGTGTGTATATGTATATATATATACATATATGTATATATATATATATATATATATATATATATATATATATGCGAGCATGTGCCCTGACCAGGAATTGAACTGGGACGTCAGTCCATGGGATGTCGCTCAATCCACTGAGCCACACTGGCTGGGCTATTTATTTTTTCTTAATAAAATAAATAAACACCTATATGTAGAAAGTTAAGTTTCTAAGATGTGTTTCTAACATACTTCATTAGACAGAATTGTATTACTATTACTAATGGTTAGGTTGGTGATTAACTCATAATGTGTCTCTGATTTTGTGCTAAATAGTGCTCAGAATATTTCGAAAACTCCACATGTGGGATGTATAGTGACACCGGAAAGAAAAAAAATAACGCCTTTATCAAAGGTGATAATATGATGGTTAATGTGCCTGTGTTTAGATGGTCTGGATGTTGCTATGGAGATATTTGTAGATAGGATTAACATTTACAAGTAGTTGACTTTAAGTAAAGCAGATCAGCCTCCATAATGTGGACAGCCTTCATCCAACCAGTTGAAGGGCTTACAGCAAAAACAGGTTTCCCGCAGAGAAATTCTGCCTCCAGACTGCAACAGAATCCTGCCTGAATTCCCAGCCTGCTGGCCTGCCCTAAGCTCAACCTTGCCAGCCCCACAATTGTGTGAGCCACTCCTTCCAAAGAAATCTCTCGGACGGACGGACGGACGGATGGGCAGATGGAGGGATGGGCAGATGGAGGGATCGATCAGTTCTATTGCTCTGTTTCTCTGGAGAACTGTGACTAGTACAGGTATAATTCATTAATCGGAGTGCCTCTTACACTTGTACCAAGAACTGGCTTTGAGGTTTAATTTGAATTAAACTGGAAGATGACACTAAAGTTTTTCTTTTCTAAGATTAGTGTTGATGAATTTCTGAAACCATATATTAACAGTGAAACATGTTTCTGCCTCTAGTGGCCATGACTTTTTTCTTTTTCTTTCAGGAGCCATTAAATTAGCATCTCCAGTGAGGGAAGCTACACTAAGAGGAACAGAAAGATTACTGGATTCTTGCTGTGTGGGACACAATGTTCTAATAAGGACAGTTTCATTTACTACCACTTGAGATGTGTTATTTAATTATCCCTCTTTAAATTTTCTTTCTGTACATGAAACATTCTATATACTTCTAAAGGTGTTTTTTAATCAATTTTGTAAAAATAGAGTTGCTTATTTCAGTCCTAAGACAAAGCAATAATTCTAGAATTCAGACTAAGAAGAAAGTATTGTCTCAGATTTTTATTCTAGTAGATGATGGCCTATTAAAAATTAAGTCATTTTCCTTGACCAGGGTGGCTCAGTTGAGTGTCATTCCATGCACCAAGAGGTCAATGAATGGTTTGGTTCCTGGTCAGAGCACATGCCCAGGTTGTGGGCTTTATCCCCAGAAGGGGGCATGCAGGAGGCAGCCGATTGATGCTTTTCTCCATCATCGATGTTTCTCTCTTTTCTTCTCTGCACTAGAATCAATAAAAACACATTAAAAAAAATTAAGTCATTTGACTAGAGTAGCTACTACATGTATGACATCATGCCAGGTGCTATGGAAAACACAGAGGAAAGCTACATCATGTTTTATCTTTACTAAAAATATATGTGAAATAAATGATATGGGACAGTAAAGAATTACTTCTGATGTACTAGTAATAAATTCTGAAAGACTCTCATAGTATCATAGTCAAGAAACATTTCATTGGTAGTTATAAAATATGATGGAGATGTAAAGTATAGCATAGAGAATATATTCAATAATCTTGCAACAACTGTGTATGGTTTCAGGTGAGTACTGGAGATATCGAGAGGAACGCTTTGTGAAGTATATGACTGTCTAACCACTGTGCTGTTCACATGAAAATAATATAATATTGAAAGTAAACTAATTGAAAACTGATAAGCAAAACATTTCATAGACATTGAGTTGGACTTGGAAGGATAGATAAGAAGGAAAAAGGTCATCTGAAAAGAACAATATGAACAATTTATTAGTTTGCTATTGTTTTATAATAGTGTAAAAAAAAAGGCAGAATACGGAGAGTTGTGTATTGGGTGGAAGGTTATAAATATTGTATGTAATATCTCTAATGCTATCTATGTAACAAACCAAAATGTAATGGCTTAAAAGAAAAAAAGTCATCTAGTCTCATAGTTTCATAGTCATAAATTTAGGAGTGTCTCATAGACTCTAATGAAATGACACTGAAATTAGCTGAGACTGTAGTCACTTTGGACGTAAGGATGTTTCCACAGTGGTCCACTCACATGCCTGGAGGTCTGTGTTCCTCTTCCTGAGGGTTCCTCCCAGAGCTGCTTGAGCCCTGGCTTTGCACCTGGCTCCCCCCAGAGGCCGGGCAGAGGCTTGCATGCCACTTATGACCTAGGCTTAGAAGCCACGCATGCATCTCTGCTGTCCTCTAATGGGGCCTCCAGTGCGCTCCTGATTCACTGTGGAAGCAGACTTACAAAGCCATGCACAACCAGGAAGGATCGCGGAGCATCATAGGGGCCCGCTATCCCAAAGGCAGAGGTGAACGTTAGAAATGAGGTGGTATATACTTTGCACCCTCGTGTTGCTATGAGCACGTGACCCTGGATTCAGCTACTGGTGTGGTGGTTTCCTGGCCTGGATCCAGATTGGTCCCTAGTCTGACAGTTTTGTGGCACCGTTCTGAGAATCACACCCATCGGTGGTTGTAAATTCCTTAATTCTCTACACTAAATTCCTCTTTGTTTAAAATTACTAGAGGGGCTTAAGTCTGTTTGAAAATTGACACAGGGTCCAACCCTCTTGTATTCTGGAATTAATTTTTTCTTATTCTCATATTATAAAACCGTAATTAAAGAAAATGTGGGCCCTAGCCGGTCTGGCTCAGCGTTGGAGTGTCTGGCCTCGGAGCAATGAGTAGCGGGTTGGGTTCCAGTTAGGGGCACGTGTCTCGGTTGCAGTTCGTCCCCCCGCCCTGATCTGCTCGTATGGGGGCAGCCAGTCGATGTTTCTCTCTCACATCAATGTTTCTCTCTCTCCCTCCCTCCCACTCTATCTGATGACAAATGGAAAAATATCCCCGGGTGAAGATTAAAAAAAAAAAAATTGGGAAGAGGAAAAATGCCCACAAACTTTGTTATTTCACTATCTTTGACTGAATGTGTAATTGGATTCTGCTTCTTGCATTGACTACTGTCATATTTTCCCAGATGCTAAGGATCTAAATTGTCATCTTTAAAGACT